AGGATAAGGCAAATCTGGAATTCCAACAATTACTGCAGAGGAGCGAAACTCCGACTCTACAAGAGCATCATTTTGCCAGTTCTTCTTTATTTAGCGGAATGCTGGAGAATGACCAAAAAGGATATCACACAATCTGTCCACCTTCCACCACACACGTCTACGTAGAATTATCAAAATTTTCTGGCCAGATACAATTTCAAACACTAAACTACTTCAAGATCTAAAACAACGTCCATCCACAACTATTGCCTATCATGACGTTATATTAACTCTTAAACTTCACTTTAGAAACGGTACATCAGAATTGTAGTGTACCAGAGTATTTGTGTACGTTAGTTTTTGTCACTTTCCGTGCATGTCTGTTCCTCCCTCCCTATACTGAAGAGTGGCTGTATTACTTTCTAATATGTCTCCTCGTGCATGTGAGATTTCGTGGTAGACGGACAGAAGGTAAAAAAAGCTCCACACAGTTCCCGAACTTTGGTACCCAGTGACCCAAATATGTAAATACACAAAAACACTGAGTCAAAACTCAGTTTTCTATTGGCTTGACAATTGACCAGCTAACGAATCTATCAGGTGATAAATAAACCAACCAACCAACAAACCACTAACCAACCAACAAATCACAAAGACCCAACAAGCAGTCTGCATATGTCGTCCAACAGGTTTGCTTACAGAACGTTGTTTCAACGATAGCACGATGGAAACAAACTAGCTTCCAAGCCAACATCCTCGTTTCGCCTCTCCTGTCCTGCCCTGTATGGGACAGTCCACAAGTCTCAATAAAACATTAAGCACACTAAGCACGTGTTTAGAGCATCACAAATGGAGGGGGTACCATGTACATTTTCAATAATCTTAGAGCTAAGCGATTATTATTTTTTTTCGGTTAAAAATATTTAAAAATCATAGGACAACAACAAGACAGACTGGGTGCCTTCTCTCAGTTAAGTTTAGATGTGGATGTTTTAAACAAGATTAGTTTTCTAATATATATAAGGTGGAAGTATGCAAAATAGACAATTTTCGAGATTTCTGTAAGTTTAGTTTCATTTTAATAAACAACATTTGAATTCATGCTGGTTTTTTTTTTTAAAATTGTATAAATGTTGAATTACATATATATGGGACGCCAAGGCCCTCTTAACACATGGGCATGCTGGGCACGTGCGCGGAGGGTACATGTCAAGTGACCGTCTACATTATTTCATTCCAGTGATTGATTGTCTTAGGTCAACACTCTTGTTTGTCCAGGGGCCTATTGTGCTGTTAAGACTGTTCCGGGGTGGTTGTGGGGATGGTGGGGGGGGGGGGGGTCTTTAACGCTCCTAGGGGATCTTAATCTGTCCCTTCCTACAGGTCATCTTCTACAGTGCGCTACCGAGGCTACTACAATATCATTATCATCATCGTCATCATCATCATCATCCCTATGGTCGTCGTCATCCTCATTCTAATCTCTATCGTCATTATCCTCATCCCTAATATCATCATCATCCTCATCCTCATTATCATAATCCCTATTATCATCATCATCATAATCCCTAACAGCATCATCATCATTCCTAATGTCATCATCATCATCTCTATCATCATCATACCTAATATCAATGATGATGATCATCATCGTACCTAATATCGGTCATCATCATCATCATCCTTATCATCATCGTCCCGTTATGGCATTATGTGTTGCATTACTCCTCTCATCTATTCCTCCACACCGTTCTGGCCTGGCCCGTCCCTTCTGTACCATCGGCACCCTGTCCTGCATCTTTGATCTAATGGTTTCCCACAAACGTTTCAACAGAACTGCAAATGGCTCGCTGATCATTCTCAGTTATGATGTATAAATTATCTCTCTGTGCTAGGGCTCAGGCTGACACCCATGACGATTCCCATTTTCAACAGTTTGACCCCTTGTGTAAAAGTGGTCCAATAGACCTGGTATAAAACTCATAAAAACATCCAACAGAGTAGGATGGGTAACTCTGATCGAACAAGCGTTGATAGGTGTACTTATGTGTTTATCTGCCCTTGTTGTCATGAAGTTGTCAGGATGGATGGGGGGGGGGGGGGGGGGGGAACACATTTCAGATCTGTCTGTTGATGACTAGCGGGCTCTATCTGTGTGACATATGTCTAGATCGACGTGGATAACTGTTATCGCCCTAATTTGCTTATTCCTGTTTGTCATGTTTGAACTTAACAATATTTTATCTCCATCAACATATTTGCCGAACAAAATGGCGATGGCGTTGATGTTTCACCCACACATACCTGCCTTCAGTTTTTTTTTAGAACATTCCCTGATTCCCCAAGCCTAAATTTTTTTTGCTTTTGTTTAAATGTCCTCCTCTCAAGGACGGAAGCATGAAGAATTGACACCCAGTGACTCGAAGTGCCGCTACTGGGATGTGAATCCTATAGAAGCGAATCTTAGAAACTCCTTCAAGCCGTGTCAGACAGGTAGAGCAGAGTAGTCTGCGGTTAGGAAATAACCTGCCATCCAGTAGGGAAGAGTTCGGCAATTGATCTTATTTCCCTCTATCTTAAACATCTTCAATATTTTTTCCCTCTCTCTCGAAAAACTTCAATATTATTTCCCTCGATCTCCTATAGTTTCAGTATTACTTCTCGCTTTTTCTAATAGCTTCAATATTATTTCCCTCTATATCTAGTAACTTCAATATTATTTCCCAATATCTCCGATAGCATCGATTTTAGTTCCCTCTAGCTCCCATAGCTCTAGTATTGCTGACCGCCACAGTCGTTGTGCATACTCTTCTCTCACAACGAGAGTGGTCTTTCGGTGTGCATACTCTTCTCTCACAACGTGAGTGGTCAGTTGTTGAGGCATTGATCTGTCCAGCTCCAGCTGACAGTGGCCCAGACATATCCTCGCCAACACAGAACTACCTCCGACACCAGACTCGGGTTCTGGTAACGAGTGCCTCAAGTATAGCTTTCTTGTTGGTTGAACGGGGTATCTGTTATTTGCCATGTCGGTCTGCCAGCCAAAATAAGACGCCTTTAGACTATAGGACATATAGGGCTAGACCTATATTTTTTATAGGCAAATCGGCATAAGAGGGTTGATGTGGTCAGCATCACGCCGGCAGCCTTTACTTCCCCGGACTGCACCCGGTACCCACTCAAGGCTGGGTCAACCTGGAAACCAAGGTCATTTTTGAAAACAAGTCCGGTTCCGCCAGGGAGCGAACCCACGACCTTCCGATCCGCGACAAGCGTCTAGCCGCTCAGCTACCCGGAAAGAAATGGAAAAAGACAGACAAACAAACAGCTTTATGTCTAAATGACCTGCAGGTCTGGGAGACAACTTGACTGAGACATCTTGCTGAAGTCAGAATGTGCTGCTTGCAAGCTGAGAGCTTTTCACTCTCTAGCCGTGAGAAGTGGGTCAATAGTAGCGTCCCTAGACCGGTGCAGCTAGGTCAGACCCTCGACCTGACTTTCTGATTGTGTTTATTTCTATAAGTAGTCCCCTTGGCATTTTTCGTTATTTTGAAGCCTCACTTGGCTGTTGCAGGGGACCCTAATATAACCTAACTTTTGAAGGGGTTTCTATTACCTCTCTACGGGTGATCCTCATCCGCATGGTGGCACTTTGTGTCACAGGTGTTAATCGCTCTATGTGATGTCCTGGTGGGGTAAAACTTACTGACTTCTGTCTGTGTGCTGTTGCTGCAGTGATGGTTGGTCGCGTCTGGCATATCGGCTTTGTGGCTCAGATCAAAGTTCTGTGTCTAAGCTGCGGAAAAGGCCTGATCGGTCACACCCTAACAAAAAAGGGGAGAATTACACCGGTAAAATATTTAACACACACACGAACACGCCCACCGAGTGGTCTCCTGGACTCCATAATTGATCAGACAGAAGCAAGCTGATGTCTACATATTTCTTCCAACCCAATGCTAAAGTATGTCACGTGATGGTGTAGCAGTTACTGCTGCCGCCCTGGCAGCTGCTGCCCCGGTAGGTGGTGCTGCTGCCCTGGTAGGTGGTGCTGCCGCCCCGGTAGGTGGTGCTGCTGCCCCAAGCAGACACAACGGCAGCTCCTGCTCCTGAAGAAAGAAAGAAGAGTCAGCAGACTCTGAAGACATCATAGGTTTCGGACTGTTTGACTAATCCCTGACCAGTAACAACTGGTTTCAGTTGAGAACTAATGTGTACGAATTCAAACAAGAACGATGCTGCCAATGGGGTGCTCGCTGTGTGTGTGTGTGAGTGTGTGTGTGTGTATGTGTGTATGTGTGCGTGCGTGCGCGCGCGTCCGTAAATGTATACACGTTGACATCTCAAAGTGTTACTTTTGTTTCCAGTAGCTACGAATAATAGTAAAATAATGAAGAAAAATACTTGAATGAAAGAAAGATAAATGCTTTACCATGGCCTAATGTAACATTGTGTAATTTATGTTTCCAGGGAGATATCTGCTCTGATGGATGCCCGTGTACAGGGAAGGCTCAGTTCACAACTGGGTAACTGAGTCTTGTGCATGACCCACTGGCAAGACCCAAATCAAGAACCAAATCTTTGTTCAGCTGTCCACAACAACAGTTTACCATATCTGGTTCTTCAGTCAGTTTTAGTCGTGTCATTGTAAATGGTGCACACGGAATAGGATAAATCTGAAGAGATGCCCGCATAGAGAGAACCACTTGTCGCTCTCACACAGAATTACACTTCCGCTTGTGGATATCGGCACATCACACTCTACAAGCAGACGCCGGCACAGATCGCTAATCAGTTGAAGCATCTACGTCAGGCCGGACCTGCACCGTCAGATGGGCTATTTTTGATTCTGTCTGAGACACAAGTGAGTCCTGATTGGCTAACAGGCTAATGAGAGTTCCCGGCCACGCCACGTCCACAGAAGACATAGCCGAGTACATAATTAATTGCCTGGCTGGTCTACAGTCCAGGGAGACCCAGATCTCCAACCACACGTGGCCCCGTTATCTGCACCATCAAATATGAAGGAGTTGTATGAAAACCTGACCATGAACGAAATGAGCCATATGTTTTCTGACGATATCTTGAGCTCCTTCTCAGACCAGAAGGCGATTAATGATCTAAACGAGCTGCCAGAATCTTGCGATGACTTTCTCTTTGACCCGGCCACTCCTTTGTTTGATTTCCAAGAGGATGCAGTCATGAATGATTATCTCTTCTCGCTGGGAACCGGTTTTGGCGGTGTCGATAAATATGACCATGAAAATTCCACTCCAGATTCCACCCGTTTAATTAGGGATTTCTCGCTACCGAAAAGTGTTGATACATTCCTGGAAGATTACACAGAAAATGACATTTGCACAAATTCGCATCTTAGTGAAGATAATTTATCTAGGACTTCTAAATCTAAGGCACGGTCGTATAATCACACATCAGATTTCCTAGGAACAAGCACTAGTGAACCCAACGTGTTTTACCTCGGAATGAACGATGTCTACTCGGACGGGATTGAGTTCATCTCTCGTGACACAGCGTTTGATAGCGGAAGTAGCAGCAGCTGCTCCAGCGAGTGTAGCAGTGGTTACAGTGGCGAGTGTAGTAGTGGCTACAGTGGCGAGTGTAGTAGTGGTTACAGTGGCGAGTGTAGTAGTGGCTACAGTGGCGAGTGGAATGCTGTGGGGAAAAACGACAAGAATTTGGTTGTTCTAGGTGTAGATATATCTAATTTGATGCATGATTATGCAATGAAGTACCCGCCAGAACCGGAGTCGTTTGTCAGGCCAGCAAAATCCAGACTGGCTCCCAGCCCTAGCAGCTCTATGAAACCATCAGGATATATCGTGACAAGCCCCAGCTTGAGCCACAGCTGTGTGTATGCTGCATCGTCGTCGCCATGTTTGCTCCCATCATTGAAACGCCACATTGTCCTAACATCCAAAAAATCCTTACTTGTAAAATCAAACTTAGGCTGTAGCAGGTCAAAGGTTAATTCCCGAACAAAGCTACCACACGGAGCAGGTCACCGCATGACCGTGACTGGGGTGGATCCCATGCTGGGAATGTACCCGGGTGGATGTAGCCCAGTGACGTCACCCAGAAGCTCAAACTGTTTAGAATATTCGGTAACCATCGCAAGATCATCATCATCATCATCAACATCTTCAGCGTCGTCTACAACCTCAGCTCCAGAGATTAAAATGGAAGAAAAGGTTTACCCTTGCACATTCAAGGACTGTAACAAGGTCTACAGTAAAAGCTCGCACCTAAAGGCACACCTGCGAAGGCACACAGGCGAGAAGCCGTTCCACTGTTCTTGGCCTGCCTGTGATTGGAAGTTTTCTCGATCCGACGAACTAGCCCGCCACAAACGCTCACATTCCGGGGTCAAACCCTACAAGTGTGACATATGCATCAAGTGTTTCAGCAGATCCGACCATTTGGCCAAACATAAAAAAGTCCACAGGAAGAACAAATAATCCACAGTCGGATTCTGTTCAGTCAAGTAGAGGAAAGGATCCTTTCCACGCTAGTGGTGTATCGGAAATATGATGCTATGAAACTTTTAGTTTTATAGATCAACCTGCCTTCGAAGGTTTATGTGGTCCATATCATGGCGGTCGTCTTTGCTTCCCAGTACTTTATCTGGTGCTTATGTTAGCCTGGGTCGACCTGGCAACCAATACTAATTTTGGAGCAAAAAATACATCTTGATGCGAATTCAAATCCGGCCCACTGGTACAGAAAGGCGGAAGTCCAGCCGATACACCACCTCGACTTTATTTAGAAATAGTAACAACATAAAGTAGATTTCAGCTTCACGGGGTCTGTTACAGTGGACAAACAGAGGACGTGCCGCTGTTAACTTTCTTCAGAGCCCGGTTCGCTAGCTTAGTTGGTTAAACCTGACTTCGCGGCGATCAGGTGAGGAACTCCTTGTGGTCCGGCACAAAAGCCACATTTCTCCCAGATTCACTGTATCTGTCATGGAATCAAGGCCAAAGGGTTGCAGTATCGATATCACTGAGCAAAAGGGTTAACAACTCATGGTTTCTGGATACGAAAAACACAACACACACATACACACAATATGAAGTGACTCTCAAATGAATGTTAGTAACAGTCAAATTAGTAAAATGTAAATACTGTTACTTTCACTACTATCTTTATTGGCTACTTGTTAGGGCTGTGTAGACAGGGAGTCGTGAGCCTAATGATTTATGACTGCGTGGCTACTGCTGTCGCCACGAACGGTTCATTAGAGAGCCGGGCCCTGTAACCACTGAGCCAGTGGCTCTTCTCTAAAGTGGCTGCGGTATTCAAATGTTATGTAAACAAACGAAAACAAATGGTCCACCTTAAGTCTATAGTCGGCTTCTGGCACTGGTGGGGTCACGCCGGTAAAGAAACAAGCAGATCAATGAGAGCAGACATTCCGCTGCCGTATGTTCATGATCTTACCTCCTGTTGTTTTTGTTGTTGTTGTTGTTGACGTTATGGTTTTGTTTGTTTCGTTACTTAGGCCATTCAGACTATAACGATGTCATATTTGCTATATCCATCAATGGGAAGCCACAGTGGATTGAAAGCTTGTTGTCCAGTCTGATGGTGATATGTCCCAATCGTAATCTAAGGGACCATTTAAAACATTAAAGAAAAAATATGTTCCCAGCCCAGCAAATCCTAACTGAATATGAAAAGTCAATGATCTGTTTTATTTCAGCGTGGACTAGGTTGCTAGACGGATACTGGTGTATACAAGTCGGCACTTAATGGGTGATTTGGTCAACATCACGCCGGCCGCCTATACGTTTAAAGACATTACTTGGTATCCATTTAAAAGCTGGATTTACCTGCCAATCAAGGTCAGTCATGAATGAGACCAGCGATGACGAAGAATCGAACCAATGACCATCGGACAGGCAGGCGAGAGTCTAGCCGCTAGACCACTGTAGCTCCCAGTCCCTAAATGGGTGCCATGAGACAATATTTTTCAACCACTGATTTAGTAAGTGACGTTTGACTTTAGTTTAGAGAGACAGACTGTCATACAGATAGGCAGGTAGGCATGCAGACAGACAGAATACAGACAGACAGGAGAACAGACAGACAGGCGGACAGACAGGCGGACAGACAGACAGACAGACAGACAGACAGACAGACAGACAGACAGACAGACAGACAGACAGACAGACAGACAGACAGACAGACAGACAGACAGACAGACAGACAGGCGGACAGACAGACAGACAGGCGGACAGACAGGCGGACAGACAGACAGACAGACAGGCGGACAGACAGACAGACAGGCAGACAGACAGACAGGCGGACAGACAGACAGGCGGACAGACAGACAGACAGACAGACAGACAGACAGACAGACAGACAGACAGACAGACAGACAGACAGACAGACAGACAGACAGACAGACAGACAGACAGACAGACAGACAGACAGACAGACAGACAGACAGACAGACAGACAGCTGGCTGGCTGGCTCGCTATCTGACTGGCAGGATGGTTGGGTTTGTGGATAGTTAGATAGAGACATAGATATATGGATACATGAATGATTGGGTGGATGGATGGATGGATATATGGATGAATAGACAGACAGATGAATTGATATATATATATATATATATATATATATATATATATATATATATATATATATATATATATATATATATATATATATATATATGTAGCTAGCAAATTATATAGGTAAATAAGTACATTCGGTAAGCTAGAGATGGAATGAGATAGAATGAAGTGATGCGGATGATGATAGAGATATAATTAGAGAGAAAGAGTCATAGTAGGATTAAAAGAGAGAAGGAGATGCGGTGTTGTGGGGTCATAGAGTAACATGTTTAACTGTGCAGTATTGTCACAACCTGCATTGCATTGATGACATAACAGAGCCACCTCGGGTCCGAGTTTCACAAACATTGTCAACAAATTAAATGTATTCAGTAATGTTTGTATTTATTCTGGCGTGTCTTTGATTTACATTTTCTCGACGTGATTAAAATATTGTTTGATTGTGGAGCCTAATGTGTTCTCTTCGTCTTCTTCGCGTTCACCAGCTGTACACTATGGCGGAAGGTTCTGGTTGCTCGTCCACTACTGAACTGCAGTCCTGCTCCAGAACCTGAGTGTTGCGTGTGCATCAGTTTTACAGATCTCATTCTCTTGAATACAGACTGTCGGTTCCTTGCCTCTCCGGCAGATGCACTCCGACTTCAAAGGAAGCTCCCCAATTAGTCGACTCTTACGACATGCTTTTGGGGAGGCAGTGAGTCTATTCTTGTTTTCCCACAATGGGGCCCCGGAACCCACACGGGGACCTAATGTGTTGGCGTGTTCTAAATATAATTAATGCGGACACAAAGATGTACTGTCGGGAAAACTTCCCTCTGTCTACTTAAGCGTATTACTACACAGCTGGTCACGACGAGATTGCAGCCTGTGTTCATTTTGTTTTTCACAAGGGATGGCGATGAACATACTGTGTGGTTCTAACTGGCACAGTAGCGGAACAACTATGAGGTGATCCTTTTGCTGGAAATTTGAAACTGGGATTACCCGATTGCCTCTGACAATTCGAATCCTTTCAACCGAAATGCACAAATCACAATATCTCTTGGTACTCTGTACATCTTGAAAACAAAAATCTAATATTAATAGCCTAGTTGTCACACCAGTTTAAGATTAACCACACGATCATTTTGTTTGCATAATTTGAGAAAACCTCCCATATAAAACTTTCTAGGACGCCAGTGGCGCATCAGGCATATTATGCTAGACTCAAAATTGTATAGACCATTCAGTGCTCAGTGGGGAGTGTGGTCGACAGCACTGAGGCTCTTTCAACATACTCAGATGTTAATAGTAAAGGTTTGATGAATCCATAGTTCACATTAAAAGTTTAATAAACCCATAGTTGACAGTAAATGTTTGATAAACCCATAGTTGACAGTAAAAGTTTGTTAAACCCATAGTTGATAGTAAAAGCTTGATAAACCCATAGTTGATACTAAACGTTGGATAATCAAATAGTTGATAGTAAAAGTTTTATAAACTCTTAGTTGATGTTACAAGTTGATAAATCCTTAGTTGATGTTACAAGTTTGATAGACCCATAGTTGATGTTACAAATTTGATAGGCCCATAGTTGATGTTACAAGTTTGATAGACCCATAGTTGATGTTACAAGTTTGATAGACCCATAGTTGATGTTACAAGTTTGATAAACCCATAGTTGATGTTACAAGTTTGATAGACCCATAGTTGATGTTACAAGTTTGATAGACCCATAGTTGATGTTACAAGTTTAATAGACCCATAGTTGATGTTACAAGTTTGATAGACCCATAGTTGATGTTACAAGTTTGATAGACCCATAGTTGATGTTAAAAGTTTGATAGACCCATAGTTGATGTTACAAGTTTGATAGACCCATAGTTGATGTTACAAGTTTGATAGACCCATAGTTGATGTTACAAGTTTGATAGACCCATAGTTGATGTTACAAGTTTGATAGACCCATAGTTGATGTTACACGTTTGATAGACCCATAGTTGATGTTACACGTTTGATAGACCCATAGTTGATACTGTTCTAAAACTGCAGACTAGCGTAGATTTAGTCAAGTTCAGCTCCAGTCCACACAATGAGGCTGTTCTGTTTGTGGCAGCTGTATATAGGCACCGGGAAGCTGCTGGTTTGGTCACTTGTGATGTCTTGATCTTCTTATCGTTCGTCGGCTGTAGACTTCGGCGGAGAGTTCTGGTTGTTCATCCACTCCTGGACTTTGATGTTGATCCAGAACGTAAGCTTTTCATACACATCCATTTTACAAATATGGCTTATTTGTATGCAGACTGTTGGTTTCTTGCCTCACAGGCAGATGCGCTCAGACTTTGAATGATACATTTCTACTACATGCTTGTGGGGTTGGGTGGGGGGTGGGGGTGTTTTCCCTGTTCTCCAGAACCGAGCTCCGGAAGCTACACGGGTAATGGATGTGGTGATGAAAACCAAGACTTGCATGTTGGTGGGTGGTAGTACTAGCAACTGGGAACTAACCAGTGGATGCTTCAGTTTTACATTGTATGAAAGGATTGACCTCAGTTAATGGCAATATTAATATCTATTTCAAATACACTGTTCAGAAAGCAATGGCAAACTACTGATTGTAAAAAAAAATTGCCCAGTGAAGCTAAAAACTGCCAACAAATGCTATGGTAGGTTTGCAGAGTCCTCTTCAGTGAAAGTCATATTTGTTAAGAACCTTTGCACTAGGTCAATGATGTGGGCACCGCCATACTGGCTGCCTTTACTTGCAAGGCATCACCCGGTGTTCATTTTTAGGCTAAATAAACTTATGACCAAAGGTCTCTTTTGAAAGGGGTGGGGGTACGACAAGACATCCAAGATGTGTAATCGAACATTAGAGCTTCAGACTGCTAGG